ATGTAAGCCCTCGCAACAAACCCGGCAGGCCTTTCGAACCAACGGACCTGAAACGCGAATCCTTCTATACAAGTATACCACAGTGACTATAGTTTGAGCTGCACATACCCATGTGCATCATGTTAGAACATGAGTGCAATTGATCTCAGGGCCAACCTGGTTCCAAACCCAGGGCGATTTTGATGCGGTTCATCTCTGCAGCAGAGTGCACGTGGAACCTCGGAACGACTGCAGCTCACACCGGAAGCAGCTCAAGGAAGAAACCGAGAAATCACAATGGGTGTAGGGAGTCAGGGGGAAAGAAGTAAGGACATAAGGGTAGAAGTCGGGTTGGCAGATTCGAGGCGAAGCAGAAAACCGGCTGTGGTGCACCTGTGTTGAACCTGCAACGCATGGCGCTCCAGTGCAGATCGGTGGCCGCTTTACTTCGTGGTACAACATTAACAGGTCGGAGGCCTTCGGCATGCCATTGAGCCTGAGGACCGAGGAGGGCCATCAGATTTTCTGCAGGCTTCCTAGGGTCCTCTTTGACCGTGTGGGGATTATCTGCAGGGTTCCTGTGCCAGGGTTGTTCGGAATGTCAACATGTCCCGAGAAATCAGCTTGAACGAAGCCTCACCATGGATCCAGCTTAGGACTTAGGACCAGCCCCGTCTTCGTCATCTGCCGTGCAGCCGTGCAGCCAAACCTCGAAATGCGAAATCGCAAAACTGAAAATGTAAGCCTTGTAATCGGTACCGCAAACATGAACCAAAACAACAGCTGAACTGCGAGGCTTCTGTTGGGATTCTCGGTCACAGAAAACAGAGCCCAAACCCCAAACCTGTTTCATATGTCAAGTTCTGGGCCTAACGGCGATCTCCAGGAAGTCTTCAAAGCCGATGTTGCCGTCGTCCTTCATGTCTAGCACCTGTTCAAGATGGCGGTATACCTGTCTAGCTCGTAACGTCGTCGCAAAAGTAACTGATGGCCGTATACGCGACTTTGAGAGGACTTTGTGGGTCTGTATGTATTCGCAGATCGTCCGGGGCAGAGGCGCTTGGCGAGAATTTTGAGATCTTTCAGGATTTGCGGCTTGAAGCGTTGGGCTTTCTCGGAGCACCAAGCTTATAAGATACCACGGATTTCCGGGCGTCGTGGTTTCGACCCTTAGGGTGTTAAGCATAAGAAAGGTTGTCATGCTTCGGGCTCAAGGTCCAAGACTTGAGGGTTGCAAGTTTGAGGTCTCTGGGTTTGCGGCTTAAGGATTTGCATTGGGTCTAGGGCAAGGTATTCGCAGCGTCGAAAGAGCACTTGCATCACATGTTCTACTACCTAATCCCGGACCAAGCCCTCAGACCTGCTGAATACTAATCCGGCACCGTCAAATGTTGACCTGCGTCCAATCACCCTGCCTTTCGAAGCAGCACGCGTACCCTGAAACCCTAACTCCTGAAATAAAAAACCCTTACGTCTAGACCCCAGACCTCGATGAGGTGCTGTGCTTCCTCCGGGTGCACCTGGGTCCACGACGGGCCCAACAGAGGGCCGTGGGATTGAGGCTGAAAGGCTGGCATTCGGGTTTTAGTTTGGAGAGTTTAGGGCATTAGAGTTTAAGGATTCAGAATTTCTTTAAGTGTTAGGATTTAGGGTGTTCGGTTAAGGGTTCAGGAGCATAAACCCTAAATGCATAACAGTCGACGACCAAGGCGCGTCGACCGATTCGAAAAACTCGAGAACGGCCGGCGTCGACGCGTGCTCGCGAATCTCCTGTGCATGCCAGCACAGGGTTGAAGACTCCGGGATGTTGTTGCCGAGTCCTAAATATCTCATCGTACGGGACGAGCATGTCTAAGCCCGAAACTGAAAGACCCCTCCTGAACTCCTAGCGGTCCCAGCCCCACAGCTCCCGCCCTACGAAGCTTAAGCCAGGACCGCCTCCACCGAGATGGATCCAGAGCCATCTGCGTCCAGCTCCTGGAACTCTGGTTTTTGGGGACTCAAAGCCTTCAGGCAGCGGTTTCGGCTTTGGGCCTCGGGTGACCTACTTTCACGTTGTTTTCTGCAAGCTGCAGCACTCATTTCTCAGATTCTCTCGGCAAGTTGAACAGCAAAAGACATGAAGACGGCGGTCATCGTCATTGTAAACCAAGGTGCTGAACATTCGCCATGCTCTGAATCACCATTGCTATCATCATCAGAATTTACAGCACAGAAGTTTCCCTGGAACTTCACCTTAAGACCTTGCAAGCTTCACAACCTGCCTGGTGGAAAGAAATCTCGAGCAAGCTGCCCTCTGCACGAGAATCCACGCATATTCATGCTCTCATCCAACATAAATCTGCGACAGCATGAGAAGGCCTGGTGTGCGAAAGTTCATCTGACAACACTGTGGGTCAACCAGCCTATGGGTTCCACGTTGCGCCAGGCAAAGAGATGCGGACGACTCTGGCTCGGAGATCGTTACAACGCAGTTCGCTCGATGAAAACTTGCCTGAGACCTGTGCCTAAGAAAAGATGCCCCGAACTCGTGTCATCGTCGAGTGGGGTGCTGAAACTGCGAAGCCCTGAAGACGGGAAGGTCCTGCTCCTCTCGACCTCAAGCGGTCATAAGCGCGAGTGAGACACTAAACCGGACCAAAACTTGAACACCCCAAAGCCGGTCCAAAGCTTCAAACTCCGTCTTTCCGCAGGCCTGGAAGACACGCCGTGCCTTCACAATCCTGAGCGACTTTGGTTTGCAGCGCCTGGGACCTATTGCCTGCGTAAATCCCGGGTCGGGGAGACGATGATGATGATGATGATGGTGAAATCATCATCACCGTCGTCGTCATCATCATCACCATCACCTGACTGTCTGCATATTGTGTGATCATGTGCGAGAGCAACAACAGCAACAGCTACGGCAATTTCAGCAGCAACACCAGCAGAGAGAAAGGCAAGAAGTAGCCTAACCATACTGTGTGCATGCAAAGGGGCCGGCTGCGGATTTTGAGATCGGCTGCCTCACAAGATCTGGCTGGGACTTTGGGATCCTTGGACCCAGCATTTAAGGATCCAAGTGCTTTGGGTTTCGGTTAGCTGGTTCCGTCAGGTTCTTCGAGCCTTGGTGGCGCTTAGGCAGTGAGGTGGGCTAGGGGCTTTGGGAGTGTTGCAGACGGGCATGCGAAGGAGCCCACTGGAAGGTATGCTGCCGGGTAGACCACGCCGCTTTCATAGCTCGACGCTTCTGAGTTCCAGAGCATAGTCAAGGCCTAGGCCTCCGGCTAATTAAAAGGTTTGTCGCGGGCTAGTGGATGAGCCTTCGAGGTGCTGCACCTTCGGTAAGAACACTAGATACCGTCGAAGGAACTCATATATAGCAAAGATGCTCAAACATGGGATGGTAGGGTGTATTCTCGTGTCGTGAACCATCGGCGTTGAACCCTGAACCTTCGTATCGTCAACTTCATTCCATGTCGTGCCCAAGCAAAGAACAAGCCTGAATCATCTTCCAACCAAGTTGTGAGAAGATCGGCGTGATGCCTGCTGGCTGACCGATTCCACAAAGGTGCCCGTGATCAGATTCATGATCGCCAGGTAGCCTCGAAAGATGCCAAGCTGAACTTCATCTTCACAACTACAGAGCCTTTAGCGACTTCATCTTCTTCTTCACACGCGGCAGAAGAATCTGTCCAGCGACGCCTTTACAGCTCCCCTTTAGGAGTCGGCCGTTCGTGACGGCAGGCACGAGTGCCACGTATGGGCAACCAGTATTAGCAGCAAAAGGTTCACCGGAGTGACATATTAAAAGAACCAAGTGGATACTTTGTATCCCCATTGGTAGCGGATCGCGTCCATCAGTCATCCATCGATTCGAGCTTGAGAAGAATCGGTGGTGGTGCCGGTAGAGTGCACTTGTTGCTGTTGCGGTTTTCCCGCTTCGCTCGGGCTTCCAGTACTCTGATGCAGCCCTCCATGCGGTTCTGGGCCTGTTGCAGCACCTCGATGCGCTCGGCCATTGCGCTCAGTTGAGCTCTGATTAAAAAGAGCTGACTTGATATCCAGTCCAGATCCTCTTCGCGAAGAGTTTTGGGCTGGCGCGGCACATCCATGGTTCAACACTGCGCTAACTGAGGGTGTTTGGTTCAGTATCGGAGCTGAGAGTGCTGCGGCATCTTTGATGAGCAGCAGCAGGTACATGTTGGTGCTGAGATGGTCAAGCTGGCTGTCACTTAGCAGCTTGGGCTCTTTTTCATCGTCCAGCAACCAGCGTTGCTCTGGTGCAGTGATTGCCACCACCGTGTAGTGGCCTGATTTGGGAGTGCTGCCATGATGCTGTATACAGGCTTTAACCTTGTACGGAACCCACTCCACTTCCAGGGTTTGAGGATTAAGGAAGGCGGGGATATGCAGGAGGTCGGGAAGGAGGTAGGCCTGTGTGTGCTTGGCCGATCGTCCCGATTCATGCAGGAACCTGGGGATCTGAAGAAAGAGCCAGTCTGGTGCGGTTATCAAAGCATGCAGGTGCTGCTGCTGAGAGTGCCACCGTTGCACCAAAATTTGGACCTCGGGAGTGGGATCTGCAGGGTCCAACGGAAGGGCTATGCACCTGAGGGTCGTGACCGATGCACTGCTTTCAATGCCTTCGGTCAGTTGCTGCCTTGTTCCCCAGCAGCCTGGGGAGTGCATGAGGCGCGGTTGTAGGAAGTCAACAAGCTCCGCAACGTCGTGCTGTTGTTGGGGCTGGCGCCAGCCCAAGAGGCGGAGCCCCATCAGACGGAAGGCCAGAAGAGGCCGCTCTGATTTTTCCCAGAAAACCTCTGGCAGTGAATGACGTTTACCTACAAGGTGAGCTGCTATCCATGCACAATACAAGTATGAGTTGAGGTAGCAGCTGTTCGACCCGCCTTGAAGCCTGATGCACGGTAGCTCTGGGGCAACGGCTTCGGCACTGGTGTGCTCCGAGGCTGCATGACCTAAGGGTGGGTTGGGCGCGATGCTGGCTCGAGGGCTTGGGGTCACGGGATGCGAGGCTGCGGCTACTTCTGGTAGATGAGGTTCGCCAGGTTTTTGGCGAGAGGTGTCTGAGGGAGGGTGTCCTTTTTCATGGACACCCCGATCAGGCACATGACTGCATTTCCACATAGACGCTCGAAGTTGTGATACAGCTCTGCCGCCGTTGCTCCCCGAAGGGAGACTTCCAGTGCAAAGGTTGCCACCTGGGCTCCCTGCTGCTCCAGTTTCGAGAGCTGAACCGTGGAGTTGAAGCGCTGGATGGCCTCCCCCGTGAGGTTCTCGAGGAGGTGGTTGAGGATGCGGATGATCTCGGCGTGCTGTAGTGGGTGTTTCGTCGTGTCCACCACGAGGCGGCGGTCGGTGTGGTTCCACACTCGGTAGTTCCACTCGGTGGAGGCGGTAAGCCACTCGGCTTTGATCATCTTGTTTTTGTTCTCCTCGGTTGCCACAGCCTGCTGAGCCAGGTTCAGGAGTTCCTTGACCATGCTGGCGAGTAGTACTGTTCGTAGCGGGGAGCGAAGCACCTTGTTGTCGGGATCCTGGGTCTTTTTGGTGTTCCACTCGCGGGCTACACGCATGAGGGCTCCCAGAGTTCCATCCTCCCCCTGTTTCATGAAGAGAACGAAGGCCTTGTCGTGCCTCAGCCGGCTGATCACCTGTTCCTGCTGTAGGACCACCCTGGTTAGGAGCCGTACGGGATCCTGAAGCATCTGCTGCTGCTGCCTGTTGAAGGGGTGGCTTCCCTGCGGGAGGTTGCCACGGTGCGGGTAGAAGGGCTGTTGACGGTCGGGCCATCGAGTCATCTGATTCGGGCGGGGCCTCTTCTGGGAGCGGCCGTCCGGTGTCATGAGGAACTCTGGCTGGCCTTGCCAGCAGTTGGCAAATATTTCTGCCTCTTCGTTGAAAGCCAGATCCATCATCAGGACCTTGCATGTCGCGACCGTACGTGACTGCTAGGCACAGCTGCACCAGTGGAGTACACTGGGTGACATGTCTGCCCGGGGCTCCGACCTTGTGGTTGCACCAGATGCACTTGCTGTCTCGCCGCAGGTGGGATTTAAAGCTCTTACAGAGGTTGAGGGCTCGGGGCATGAGATCAGGATGATCTTCGGAATGGACACGATTTATGTGTTGCTTAACATGTCGGAAGTCAGCTACCCAGTAATGGCACAGTGCGCAGTGGTGCATGAGCTCGAGGCGGACAGCTGGCACTTTCAACCATTGCTCCCATGTTGCGAGGCTCTGCAGAAAAACACGACGCTTTACCAGGGGCGTGTTAGCTGTGTTTTCATCCTCAAAAATGCTAAGCTCCGCCGTTGGCGGTTGTCGGATCGGCTCAGGGACGTGGTCCTCGGGCATAGGCGCTCGGATGGCGCTGTCACCTCCAAGCTTGCCGCAGGCTCCGGTTTCAATGTGAGAAACGAGGTGTTTCCACCTCCAGAATTGGCGGTCACAAAGTTGGCAGGCCGGCATGCCTGCTTTGGCGTGAAGCTCCGGTTTGAAGGTGGTAGGGGTCTTGGTAGAGTGCTTGGGCACAGACTTATGCTTGACGCCGCAGTGTATGCGCATGGCATGCTCTGTGGTAAATTTTTCCTGACAGAGGGGGCAGCTGACCATGGGTTCCGGCTGCGGAGCTTTGACCAAGCCTGCCGCCATGTCCAGGAGTAGAGCTTCCAGGGAGGAGGCCTGAGCACGCATATGATCGATGGCTGTGCTGGTAGTGGTGATGTCGGGCTCCGACTGAGCCCGAGTTTCGATCTTGGCCAGCAATTGGAGCTGGAAGCGTTGCACGGTCCAGCCTGGCATGGGAAGCTCTGCTCTTTGCCAGACTTCGCTCGTTGTGATATGAGTCAGATGGGCGGGGATACGTAAAATGGCGCGGAGGTGCCGGGTGAGGTGGGTCGTTAGGGTGCTAAGGGTGGAGGAGTTGAGGCCAACCACGTGTAAGGCATAGAACATGCTGGTGCAGATGCAGGCCTGCCACAGGCGCAGCCTGTGTCGCACGGAGAGATGGTGAGATCCATTCAGGATCTTGCGTAGGCCTTGGTACCTGGCAGCACTGGCTTTTATGCGGCACTGCAGGTTGCGCTGCAGGCGGTGGTGATATGTGACAACAGTGCCCAGGTATTCATGTTTGTCCTTTATGGGGACGCCACACTCCCTTCCATGAACCTGGATTTTAAGGTGGAGAGTACCTGCCTTCATGAAGGTGTGCTCACGCCTGTGATGGGCCGCGTCCTTGCCAACAAGCTTTAGCAAAATTGCAGTTTTGCTGTAGTTCACTTTCATGGCGAGGGTCTCAAGGGTTTCCAGGATTAGTGATATGTCATCCAAGGCTTTGTCAAGATGGGTGGTTTCAGTAATTTCCCAAGCCCCCCACACGTCATCTGCAAATAACGACAGGATCTGCTGAATCCATGCAAGGCTTCTTTTGTCCCGAAGGAGCAAGAGAAAGGCAACCGAGAAGTAATTCCAAAGGTATGGCGCTATGACACAGCCCTGTTTGATGCCATTTGTGGTAACCCTTGAGCCACGATGGGAGCCGACGTTGTAGATATACTGGGCGTCCTTGTGCAGTTGCTGGACCACGGTGATCACCTCCTGAGGGACACCATGAGCTTGCATGGACCGGTATATGTGGGATCTGCTGACTCCATCGAAGGCTTTGGAAAGATCTAGGGATATGCACACACCTCCTGCACAGAGCCTTGGTTTAGTACCTGCCTGTTTTTGGAAGCGGGTGCACCTAGTACTGCGGAGAAGACCTGACACTTTCTCGAAGTGAGCGTGGGCCCGAATGAGGGCATTGGCTGTGCCACGGTGTTTGGCATAAGCGAACTGCGGCAGTTCTCTGAGGATGGGCTCAAGATGACCAATTAAATGGTTGCGCAAGCTGCCCGCTAGTGCCTTGCTTGCCGGACTAGATAATCCTATGGGCCTTAATGAGGCAACCTCTATTGATGGTTTCCCTGGCTTGGGGATCCAAACAATGTGGCAGTTTTTCCAGTCCTCGTCAAGCTTGCCGCTGCTGCCGGAGGCAAAGTGTTGCCTTAGGGCCGGGCCTAGTACCTGGCTGATTTCAGCTGAACACTGCTTCCAGATAGCAGCAGGTGCAATGTGCTTGGGCACAGCCTTGGCAAGGCCCAAATGGCATAGTTCATGAGCAAGGTCCTGGTCGGTGATTAGAAGGGCTTGCTGAAGGGGGACCATGGGGTGATCATCGAGTTGGGCTGCAAAGGTGCTGCTGCCATGTTTCATGATGTGTTGCAGCTCCTCCTGGCTGGTTAGGAGGTGTCCATCCTCACCTCGGAGGCGGCTGGCGATTTGTCGAGTCTTTGACGACAATCGCCTCACTATGAGATGTAGGCTGCGCTGGTCTCCGCGCAGTGCAGCTTGCTCTGCCTGGTCCACCTGTGCTTCATAGAATTGCTTCTTGAGATCTCGGCTCTGCTGTCTGAGTTGCTTTGAGGCTTTGGCAAAGCTGGCGGCCAGCTTCCACTTCGCGAAAATAGTGTGCGTGGCACACACTCCTGGGCGCTTAAGTTGGCGGTACAGTTGCCACACATGTTTGGCCGACATGCAGAAGCCGGGGTTGGCACTGACCCGCAGGTCTGTGGGCACTTGCTTGGGAAAAGCCTGCTGAGCCTCCTCCAGCAGAATCCGGTTAACATGATTATGGGCACTGGACAAGTGGGAAATGTCAACCTCCTGAAGTCGCTGTGCGATGCTGGCCTGCATGCCTAGGGCCTCCGGTGAGGCTTGGCAGACCGCAGCTTGCAGCCGGGCGCAGTCAATGGCCACACCCTGGGATGGCTCCTGTTTGGCGGTCTGCTTGAAGGATTGCATTGGTAGCTGAGCTCTGACAGGAAAGTGCCCAGTAAGTCGGAGACTGCCTATGGGAAAGCTATGATCCGGGTAGGCCTGTTTGGCTTGGTGGCTGGCCCCATGCTGCCGGGTGATCACGTAGTCGATCTGTGTGTACCCCGTTGGGGAGAAGTACGTGCCACTTGGCTTGCAGTGCCAGGTGTTCAAGACACAAAGGGAGTGTTGCTGCAGCAGGGCCTGAAGGTCAGTGTCGTGGTTGGATGAAGTGGTTTGGAGGATGGAGCTGCCAGTGCATGGCGCTTCTGTCTTGATCGCAGAATTGAAGTCTCCACAGATAAGAAGATGATGTCTCTGAGGAACCCTGAGGATGGCTGTGCCTAGCTTGTCCCATAGGGAACGTCGGAGCTCAAGGTTTTTAGCCGTAGAGAGGCTGGTGCGCCATACATGCTGATAAACCCCTATAATGCTAATCGGGAGCTGAGTGATTTTGGAGGTGGCCTGGACCAAGGCAAGTCTACCAGGGACTATCTCTAGTACCCGTGGGTCCTGGAACCGCTGCCGATGCAGGAGGAAAAGGAGGCCCGTGTACCTGCCATAGGGATCGGGGGATGCTTTGCCCGACGAGTGGATGGCCATCCACTGTCCCGACTGGAAGTCCGATGTGACATCCCAGTGCGTTTCTTGCAGAATGATAATGTCGGCTGCTGAGTGGGCTTCTGTCCAAGCCAGCAGTTCTTGGAACATGGCAGAGGATAATCCACTAGTGTTCCATGACAAAACATTCAAGTGCTTGACCGGCCTGTGGCGATAGGGGAGCCGAGGCCGCACACGCCTGGTTTGAGCGGGGAGAGGCTTGGGGATCTGTTCTAGGGACTCAGCTGTGTGCCATCTACCCTTGTACCAGGTCCCTTGGTTCGGGGAGGCGTGGGCTCTATTTCTGGCTCTCCTAAAGGCACGTTTGACTGAGGTTGATAATGCGATGACGGGATGCTGTGTATGTACTGGCGCCGCGGGGGGCGTTGGTCCGCGATGCTTGCCTGCCGTTGCCATGGGCACAGCAGGTCTTCCTCCTGACGCGGAATCAGGAGGAACCCTCACCCCTCCAGTCCTGATGAACCATCCTATGAGAAGCGTGCATCTTAGACTGGTCTCGGACTTGGGACCGAGAGGGCCAGATGATGGTGGCGGCCTACTTCCTGATCTACTGTTATTTTTCTTGGCATGGTGGGTCCTATTTGGGCTTAGGGGCTTAGCAGGCTGGGCGGAAGCAGTGTTATGCAGAGGTCCTTCATGCGGTGCTTCTTGCGCGTCTGCATGCCTGTTGCAAGCCCAGGGCCGCACTCGCCTGTGCTGGGGTTGGTCTTGCGGAGGTTTAGGGTTCCGGGGATTAGGGCGGGGGGTCTGGCTTAAAGGGCAGTGATGCTCTGGCCTGGTGGCAGCGAGCTCATGGAGGCAGTGTTGCTTCCCGCGGTGTCGGCACTGCATGTGCCCCGTTTCATGAGCGGGATCGTTCGCGGGCTGCGGCTGGCCTTCTGTGAGGCCTTCTGCGGGGCCTTCGCTCATGAGTGGCTTCGTGCTCATAGCTTTGCCACTCCAGCAGCCTGTCTCCAGTGAGGCGTTGCACAGCCTCTTCTTGGAGGCGAAACCAGTCGGAGACGTTGGTGCGTCTCCGCAGCCCAGCAAGGCATCCCGCTTGGCTCCGGCTCGGTATACGGCGAACTTGTAGCTCGGCTCTGTAGAGGGTGTGCAGGCGTTCCACGGCTGACTGCAGGGCGGGTCCCTCCAAGTAGAGGCTCGTCTCGCTCCACGTGAGCGAGTTTTCGCTCTCGCTCTCTGCTTGCTCCTCCTGCACGTCGGTTGTAGTCCCAGAGCCGCTGGAGGAAGGGCGAGGCATAGAGGGCTCCGCTTGGGCCTTGGCTTCCGCGATCCTTGTGACATCATCATTGGCAGTGGGCGGCGTTCGTCTGTCCACATGCACTGGCGCGTTGGGTGGCGGAGGAGGTCCGGCACGTCTTGATGCTTCTGCAGCCGATGGTGCACCCTGGCGAGCGTGGTCTCGGGGGGTGCGGTCGATCTCATCCAAATCATCGACCCCATCCAGCTCATCAGCAGTATTGTCACTGTCGGTGCCGTTGCCATGGCCATCACTCATCTACTTTCGCCGAAGTCAACCCGAAAAACCCAGCACCGCAAAGCAAAAGAAGAAAGAGGACCCCGGCACAGCGGATCAGAAGGGGCGCTTCGCTTGGGCCCGGGGCTTAGCGACTTCATCATCATCATCATCATCATCATCATCATCATGCTTACAATCAGTGTCCTCACTCACGTCCTCACTCACATCACCCCCCTGCTCTGCGCGCGCTAAGGACCCCCGGCTCTGGAAGATTGTGGCGGGCTTTGGGGGAGGCAGCACGCGCTCAGGATATTCCCTGCTTTGGAAGACTGTAGCGGGTTCTGGGGGAGGCGGCAAGCTCGTCATCGCCATCCGCCGACGATGAAAAGGCTCCTGGTTGCAATGGTGGTGGTGATGCCTTGACAGCAGTAGGGGTGAGGGTGCCCATGTTTGTATGCGTTCACATGACCGTAGCAGCTGGTGATAAGGATGGTAAGGACACTTGGATGCCCACACGGCACCAGACGTCCTGGCCCAAAAAGTGGCGATGACATGAACTGGCACGAGCCCCCTGAAGCGGCTTGACACGGGCACGAGCCCCCGACACACAGAGAAAAGGTGGTTCCCGAAAAGGAAAAGGAGGCTCCGCTGCTCCCCGGCCGAGCCGGGAGGCCATGGCCGGGGCCAAACCCGGCCGATACCGCCGAGCCACCCCCATTCCAGCGACACACCCCACTGCAAAAACAAAAAAACAGAGCCGAGGGGTAAAAGGAGAGGAACTGCCGAGCCTAGTACACTCAGTTCCATCGTCGTTTGGACGCAGGCACTGGTGTTAATGACCAGCTTGGCGAAGGCAAGACTCTTCGGGGCCCTGCGCACTTGTACCGAGGTCGATGCTTCTCAGAGCTTGGCCTTTTCCTCTTGAGTTCTAGAGTATCAGGTGTCCGATGTATGGCCCAGGGTCCGCTTCGGGGGCTTTCGGTTTTGCCCAGGAGCTGTAAGCCATCCAGAGCACCAAGAAGAAGGCATAGGCAGGAGAGACATGATCTTTTAGCGGCCTTGGTGCCAAAGAAGCTTGCACGGCTTGCAAGTCAATCTGAGCCCCAGCTTTCGGGCTTGGGTCGAAAGAAAGCCCCGGAAGCCGGTGACTGCAACAACCCGTGAACCCTTTGCCGAGCAATGCTGCTGTCAGAGCCCCAACAGACCTTCTCGCACCTAACCCGAGCATGAAATGTTCATGACCCCATTCCCGCCAGCAGGCTTCATGCAATCGTTCCAGTCGATGCCGCCGGTGAGGGCTTGGAAAAGAGACAGCATGCCTGGGAGAGCATCTGGCTGCGGAGCGCATGCCGTTCGGCAAGTGCTCAGGGGCATACTTGCTTACCGACCTGACTTAGTCCTTCTTACCGAAGCCCAGCCCAGCGGCTCAGGGGCAGATTCCCCCACCAGGTCTGCAGATCATCCATGGAGGCGCCTGGAAAAGGGCCACACCAACCAGTTCCTCAAACACTACACCGTCTTGGGAGAAGTCTGGGGTGTCGGCCGAGTCGTTGAATCCTCAATTCGTTTTGCAGTTCTCGCTCGAGAGCCAATGTGACTATCGTCGCTACGTTTGCGTCAGAGGGGACATGCTGCTGCTATTGACTTGATGGCTGATTGAAGATACTATCATCTGGTACATCACCACACTGGTTATCACAGCTTCTACCACATAGTAGTTCAAAGCACTGCTCAAGTCATGAACACTCCAGACAGTTCTGTTCAAACCCAGGACGCAAAAGAACTACAGCAATGATTCTATGATGGCCTTCACTTTATAGTCGTCATGAGTACGAAGTTCAGATGATGATCGCGATTCTGATGCTTACCATGATCATCACCATCATCAGCATCATTACAGGATCCTTCACCATCATAGCTGTGACCAAGAACGTTCCAAACGCCAGAAGAACAGCAGGACATTTGTCCGCAGAAGGGGCTTCCAGGGTTGTCCAGACCGTGCTGATAGACCATGCCGGTCAGCTCAATGGCCATGATCTCAGTTCAATGTTGAAGTTTCGATCTTGGAGCTGAGATCACATTGGCTGTCGACCGAGCCCGATCCAACCGCAAAACAGAGAACCCCCGCTCGATGACCGAAACCACAAACCCAGACCGAGCACCACTCGAACCTGCCATTATGCATCCTTCTGTTTGGGGTTATATCATATATCGCAGCCGTCTTCTGCGATAGACTATTTCATCCGTGTGCTTGCATCCCTGCGCAACGGCGTGGTTTCACTCGGACCCGAAACAACCGCGTGCTTCGGACACTGCTCAGCGGCAACAACCATTGGCATCCAATCGTGCCATACGACTCTGGCATATTGCTAAGCTCATCTTCAGACTGCAGTACTGCTCTGCGTATTGCCACGACGGCGACTGTGGAGCCCTCGACTTTCCGGAATCCCTGCTGCCAGGCAAGACTCGTAGATCATAATGAAGAGGAAAGCTGAGGTCCAGAAGAAAGTGCGCAGCGACCTGGGCTTCAAGCTTTTGGGCCACAGGGTGGAAACTCTGCCTATCTTATACATTCTGCATGACATCGACCCCAAAGCCCATGGAGTGCCGGTATAGTCCTAGAGGACATCCTCCGAGAACAGCGGTCGAGCAGTCAAGGTCTTCGCACTGCTAGCAATACCAGTCAAAAGTCAGGCTCATCGTGGAAAAACTGACAGAAGCCAGAGCGAGTTACTGTACATCACTAAGCGTGCTTTGTTCTCGCGAGTACCATGACCAATGCCAGCACGACGGCTGGTATAGCGCTTGTGACCAGTGCCCAAAGCCAGGCCGCAAAACGAGGCAGCTGACGATCAGCTGCAGGTTCTCCGAAAAGCGGACAGTGCGGATCAGGCGGATGACCTGAGATTGAGACTGGGAACTTGAAGGGAAGCTGCCGGTATGTGTGCAAAAACCCGAAGGCCACAACAAGATGCAAGACGCTTTACTCAGGATTTGCTGGTGTGTGTCTGTGTGTCCCTTGGCCCTTTGCATGGAACCACAGCCCAGGTCCAACCTTGATGCCACGCATCACGCCAACCACCCTCCTCGGCTTCAAGGCGTTGAAAAGGGTTTAGGGCAAACTTCGCAAAGGATTGAACACGAGGAGAGGGTTCGCTTGCTCGGAATTGCTTGCAGTGGCATCGGCACGACTGCTACCTTTCGCGCGAGTGCTGCAACGACCCCGATAGTTGTCGCCGCATTCATCTTGATTCTGATGCTTTGTCATTCTACTGAGCTATTCATACTAGTATTGTCAATGGCCTCGTTCTTGAGCTGAAGCACACTTCCCAACAGCGTGGCTAGAGTGACGTTGTTGTGCATGGTGCCGAGTGTTCTTGCCCTGATCCTACATCATTGTTGTTGTTGCTATGAGCTTTCATAACTGTTGTTCTCAGACAGGCCAGGTCTCATCAATGGTGCGTTTGCGACCTGGGATGTCAACTGGGTGAGCCAATCGGGAGAACGTGACGCTTGAAGCTGGTGGGAAAAGGTGGCGAATGCCTCCAGTCATGTTCACATCATGAAGAGTCGAGAGGGTAAGAGCACACTCTGGAAGAAATCTTTTCCTGTCGAAGCGCTTTACTGACGTGGATCAATTCCGTCAAGGGTTGAGGCTATGTTCCGGGTCCCCGCACGTCGTCCCCAACGCTGGTCACGGTCGCGATAAGAATCAATGTCTCTTCAATGAGCTGGATTACCTCGCGATTTTCGAGTTCAGTGTGTGTGGGTTAATCGGTTTAACCCCGAAGCCCCAAATGGCCAGGAGTCCTGATTCCTGAGGCTACCAGACTGAAAGTCGCCGGGCACGAAGGCAAACTCAGAGAAGAACACAGTGAAGGATGCAATTGCTGCCGAAGTGCTACCAAGACCAAGTCTATGATATTCCAGGCACAACCTGACAGCTTCGATCAGCTGCGGGGACTTGGGATTTCGGGACCGAGTGACTGTGGAACTGCTACTCGTGCTAGGAGCTTGAGTTTCGCTAATTACGGTGCTTGCCCGTCGAAGCACGACCAACATGAAGACCATGCGGCGAATTATCGCAGTCAGAGCTCTGAGAAATCGCAGACTTTCTGATCGCACATGTATGCTCACCTGGCGTCATGTATGAAGGAACAGAGAAACATGGGGACATCGAAGGAAGCGACCTTCCAAACCGCATACACCTTATCGAAGGAGCAGGCGGAGTCTTGAGCCTTGGAAATCTCACGTCACTTTAAGATTAATGATTAAACGTCAACGAAGCAGCCGTACATCGTGAAGAAGCGGCACCGGTGAACGAAAAGACGGAGGCCTGAGCAAGGGCAGCAGAGTGGAGCAAGCAAATGTGAACCTTTAACTAGGAATTTGTGGGACCTGAACTGTGCTCATCCCAACAGTGTGGAGTCTTTCAGAAGCACAAGAGTCCGAAGTGCCAGCATGACATGATCCTAGATGAGACGGGGCAGCAAGCACCGACAAGTCTCATATCGTTGAACTGCGAGGGGTGAACATGAAAAGCCATCAACTGAAAGCCGACGAAGTCTAAACCCAAAGCTCTAGCGACCAGAAGTAGGAAAACCCCGCGAGCTGGTATCTGGCTTACTGCGTGCTGATGCCAGTAGCTGCAGTGGCGGCAGCAGCAGCAGAAATGAAAACTAGAATAATCGTACTGCTAGCAGTAGTAGTAGCAGCACTACTGCGTGCTACTGCTGCTGCTACAGCCACCACCACTACAACGAGGGCCACCAACACCACTACCACTGCTAGTACTACTGCCACTCGCTCGACCAGAGGCTGACGAGGCCTACTTCAACAGTGAAGAAGACGCAGAAGATGATGTCTGTGACACGAAAGCCAATGGGTACCTTGCAACGAGCCACAGATGGTGTGGATTCGGCAACGGCTCAGGGTGGGAGTGTAGGGATCGAAGCCCTGTGATAATTGGGAAAATGGTCTGCCGAACACTTCAGTCTCTGCATCTGTCATTGATCTACGGAGACTCAAGAATCG